CCGCTGCGGTCCCGGTGTCCCCCCGCATGCTGGCTGTCCGCTACGTCCCGTGTCCCCGCTGTCCCCCGCCTTCCCGGCGCCCCCCCGTGTCTCCTGCGGCTCTGCAGCCCCTGTGGTATCCCGGTGCCTGCCGGTGTTCCCCCCGTTTGCTGTGTTCCCCCCGCGTCTGCCGTGCACCTCCCGATGTCCCCCACGTACCCCGCTGTCGCTACGAGCCCCCCCCGCCACGCGACCCCAGCGCTCCGGTGCTCCCCGTGATCTTTGCCTGCGGCCCCGGTGTCCCTGCGCTCTCCGGTGTTCCCCGGTGCCCCCCAAGCCCCCGCTGCAGCCCCAGGGCTCAGCGCTGCACTGCCCGGAGGAGACCCCCGCGTTGTCGCGGGGTGCCCCGGGGCTGGCAGCAGCAAACTTCGCGGGGTCACAGCTCGTGCAGCCCCCCCAGTCCCCGTGGGGTTCCGGGGAGCCGGGGTGGGGGTACCCGCGGGGCTGCAGCACCCACCGGGCACGTACACACACACACAGGCTGCAAACTGCACCCCCGGGCTGCGAGCACAGCCTGCAGCACCCCACTCACACGGGGCACGTGGGGGGCACGGGCACCCCCACACACACACACACCCTCTGCCTGTAATCCCCCGCATGCACACACACACGGAGCACACAAGCAGCCTGCAACACCCCCACACGTACACACACGCGACACAGACTGCAAATTTGCGCGCACAGCCCCCCGTGCCGCCTGCAAACCCACGGACCTGCACACACAACCCCCCCACGCTCACACGAACGCTGCCTGCAGCCCCCCCCGGGTGTGCAAACTCACGCACACCCGCAGCACAAGCACCCAGCCCGCAGGCACAGCCCGCAACCCCGCGTGCACACACATCCGCAGAGCCCGCAGACCCCAAAACTCGCACACGCACGCGCTCGGGGCTTGCAAGCAGCCTGCAAAGCCGCACATCGCGGGCGCACACGCAGTCTGCAGCCCCACAAACTTCTCCACGCGCGTGTGCGTACGCACCCCCCGAGCAAACACAGCCTGCACACCCGCAAACACACCTCTTGAGCAAACACAGCCCGCACGCAGAGCTCACCGCCCCGTCCTGCACAGGCAGGGCCCCTGCACGGTGTCACCCACCCGCGGGGATCACACACGCAGTCACAGGCTGCTGCCTGCAACCCCTGCAGCCCCCAAGCACTGCCGCAACCCGCCAGCAGTCTCTTCCCCATCCCTCTGCAGAGCACTCGTGCTGCTGTAGACACGCACACACACACAGAGCACCCCGGGTCCGGCTGTGCCACGCTGGCACCCCCACACAAGGTCTGTCACCCCCTCCTGCAAAGCAAGGGCACACATGTATGGTCCCCATCCCACCAGCCCCCAAGCAGCACGCCAGAGCTCCTGGTGCCACACCAAGGGCAGTGCTGAGGTGGAACATCCCTCTGGAGTCCGTGCCGTGGTGCCTCCACAGGTCCTCAGGGCCAGAAGGGATGTGGGGATGGGGCTGAGGGGAGCAGGCACAGTCATCCTCTGCCTGCAGACCCCAGAACCTCCCTCTGCCCATCCTGGAAGGCACTTGGGCTGAGGATGCAGAGGGTGCAAAACACAGCCTCAGAGAGCATTCCATCCCTGAGCCTGGGCAGCAGGGAACCTCAGCATGGCATCCCTGACCTGTCCTTCTCTGCCTGCACAGGTGGCCCAGGTCAGCAAGCCCGGAGAGCGGAGGAGGAGCGCTGGGCACTGGCCTAGCCACACGCACACACCGGCACCATGGACTTCGTCATGAAGCAAGCGCTGGGCGGTGAGTGGGAGCTGTTCCCCCTCAAGGGTCCCCCCTCAGGGGGCAATGCTGGCCCAGGACCCCAGTCAGTAGCACAGTGGGAGGGACACGGCAAGGGGACAGAGTCACACAGAGAGCCACCAGCAGTGGGGAGCTGCTGCTGGAGCCCTCCAGGTTTCCCACTACCAGTGCCGTCAGCGGCTGGCTGGGGAATCCTGGCTCTTCTGCTACAAAGTGGGATTCCCCAGCAGGTCCCCTGGGTGCTGAAGAAGGAGCTGCTGGCATCTCCCCCAGCTGACACTGAACTAGGGCAGACCAGCCAGCCCGTGGTACTCCCCATCCCCACAGCCTGCCGAGCCTGCCTGCAGCCCGCTTCGGCACAGGTGGCCCTGGGGATGTCCCAGGTCCTCCTTGCCCTCCCTGCTGCTGCAGGGGCTTTGGCAGCAGCACCAGGCTGCAGCACTCTTGGGGACCAACCAATGGTCTCATATGCACAGGGGCCACCAAGGACATGGGGAAGATGCTGGGGGGCGAGGAGGAGAAGGATCCCGACGCGCAGAAGAAGGAGGAGGAGAGGCAGGAGGCCCTGCGCCAGCAGGAGGAGGAGCGGAAAGCCAAGCACGCCCGCATGGAAGCGGAGCGGGAGAAAGTCCGGCAGCAGATCCGTGACAAGGTGGGCACACACCCCCCCTGTGCCCGCCCCTGCCTGTGGCAGCCGGGGTGGGGCTGGGACAGGGGGCCGGCATGGCCGGGAGGAGGGTGGCCCGAGCCGGTGGCGACGGGCACGGGGCACAGCGCGGGCAGTGCCCACTGCCTGCCCTGCTGAGAGCCTGTGTCCTCGCAGTACGGGCTGAAGAAGAAGGAGGAGAAGGAGGCAGAGGAGAAAGCTGCTCTGGAGCAGCCATGTGAGGGCAGCCTGACGCGCCCCAAGAAGGCGATCCCGGCGGGCTGTGGGGACGAGGAAGAGGAGGAGGAGGAGAGCATCCTGGACACCGTCCTCAAGTACCTGCCCGGCCCACTGCAGGATATGTTCAAGAAGTAACAGCACCGTCAACCCTGCCATAGGGTGCTGGGGCACGGGCGCCCTCTCTCCTACAACTCCTCCATCAGTTCCCTTGGCCCCGGAGAGGGGGTCCCCACACCCCCTCCCATCCCCTCCTGCCCTGTCCCCCAACCAGACCAAAAGCCCGCCCCGTCCCGTCCAGGCAGGGCCCCCCCACCACGCCAAAGGGGAGCAGCCCTGGCCGGACAGGGCGAACCGGGACCAAATGCACTGATGTAACCTCGCGGCAGGCTAGGGGCACCCAGGCCCTACCGGCCCCCCCGGGGTGGCTCCTCGTGCCCCCTGCCCTGCCCCTTCTGTTCTCCCAGGGGACCCCAGTAGGGCTCTGCTCGCCTGCCCCCGTCCCCAACACTGCCATCCCCGTCCCCTCCCGCCCTGGGCCAAGCCCAAAGCACAAAGCCAGGCGCCCTGCCCGCAGCTCCCCCATCCCCGGTCGTCGGGCACGGGGGTCCCCCGGGGCTGCCCGGTGTGCTCCTGCATCGGGGGCTCGGAGGGGACCCCCCTCCCCGCATCTCTGGCCCCATAGTTAAAGCCATATCAGTTAGACTGCAATACTTCAGCACCGGGAGGAGCGGGCGCCGCGCTCCGCCGACCGTGTACAAAGGCACGCGCGGGGCAGGGTCCCCCTGCCTCGTCCCCCCGTCCCCGCCGCTCGCTCGTCCGTGTCTTGGCCCCGCTGGCCCCCGTTCTCGCATTAGTGTCTCTGTGCCAGGGTGCGCCCCGTCGCTCCATGCGTCCTCGTGTCCGCTGCTCAGCCTCCCACCCCCGAGTCCCCACTGTCCCCGGGGGCCACCCGAGGCGCCCCTCGCCGTGCTGCTGGGACCCCCGCTCTGTCCCCTGCAATAAAGCCAGCGCGGGGCCGGGGGCTGCCGGGCCAGTCCCGGGCTGGGAGAACCCGGCTGCCCTCGCCTGCCGCTGGACACATGGGTCCCCGGGCCTGGGAAGGGATGCCCGGGATGTCCCAGGAGCCGCTGCTTGCACCCCGGCGGGGGAGGCAGGGGCACAGCCTCATCCCGGCCCGTCTCTTGCCACACCGTGCTCCCCTCCCTGTGCTTCCTCAGCCACGGCCCCCAGCCGCTCACCAGGGCCCTGCCGGGAGGTGGCGGGCAGCTCGGGGCCCCACAGACATGCTGTGACCATCCTGCTCGAACTAGTCTTTGACGAACTAATAAAATAAAGGGATTTGTACATTGCTCTGGCCTCTTCTCATGCGTTGCTTTCCTGGGCCCCCGTGTCAGCTCCCTCGCCCCGCCAAGCTCAGGGTTGAAATCTGGCAGCTCGTCACACATGGACTGCCCCCAGCCAGGTCTCTACAGGTGCAGGAAGCAGCCACATGTGGCTCCCATGTCCTGCTCCTTCCTGCTGCCTTCCTACTCCACAGGCATCTGTCCTTTCTGGGGCTGGGGACAAAACAAAAGGGATGTCCCACAGATATGGCATGGGGGTTTCTCCCCCTTCCCCTTGACTCCAGGGCTTCCTTCACTGAATGGCTGGGGATACCCAGGAGTCCAAGGGCTGTTTCTGATGGGTCACAGCATCCCACCACTCCAAGAGAGGAGCACGAGGCTGTGGGCATGGTGCACCTCATGCCCCCACACCGAGGCCCTGGCAGTGCCCAGGCCTGGCACAGCTCGGGAGGCTTCAGCTGGTGCCAGCCCCAGCTCCAGTGATGTGCCATCATTTACCAGCAAAGAGCTCAGCTGTTACCCAGGCGGCATCAGCAGAGCAGTCACCCAGAAAAGCTTCTGTCAGAAGGAAATATGAGGGTAGAGAAGGGCAGAGATCTCGCAGGGAAGGTCTCCACTGCAGGCAGGCTGTGCCCTGGTACCTGCACAGCGGGGAGAAATCCGCAGGGCCCTCCCTGGGCAGAGGGGACAGGGCAGGGAAGGGCTCTGCCCTCGGCCGTGCATGGAATGCGCAGTGTCCTCCATGTCCCGATCTGAGCGGTGTCCCCGCTGTCACCTGTCCCCACCGTGGGCACGCAGCGCCCCCTGGTGTGGTGACAGCGCAGGACAGGGGACACAGCGAGCGGGGACAGGAGCGACAGCCCCCGACAGTCCCCCTGCCAGGGCCGTGCCACGGCCAAGGGAAGGAGGCAGGGGAGGGAGAGCAGCTCAGCACCCCGCCTCTACCCCCTCAAATAGCCACAGGCACCTTCGTTAAGGAAGAGGATTTATCAAAATTACAAAAAGACACCACAAATATTTTTAAAAAGCCCCAGCTGGGAAAAACATCTACCAGTTCAAACCCGCCCACCCTCCCCTCATTGCCCCAGCGCAGGGAAGGGTCACGGGATGTCTGGGAGGGGGAGAGGCAGGTTGTGCCCCCAGAGCTGCCCTTGCCACCAGGCTTTTGGGGACAAGGGGACAGTCACACATCACTGCTGGGGAGCCTGGTCAAAGCACAGCACCTCCCATGGGAGGCTCCTCAGCAGCCACCTTCAGTGACTGATTTTCTTTGGCCACTTGCCTTTGGAACAAGCCCCCCACGCCCCAGAGAGGAGGTGGCAGAGGGGGGCCCTGCCAGAATCCCCCCACTCTCCCCAGCACACAGCTGCCTGTTTACAAAGCTCCCAAGAACAGGAGACACCGAGCTGAGCCCGAGGTCACAGCCCTGCCAGGCTGGCAAGGAGATGAGCCAGCTCCTAAGCTCCCACCCTCGAGGGCAGGCAGGTGTTGCCTCCCTGGGTGCAGCAGCTTCATCAGGAGTCGTTGGGGAGCCCAAAAAGCTTGACAGTGCCAGCCTCCCGGCTGCTGTCATATTTGCCATCTTTGTCATCACAGGCGAAGGCCAGCAGCGGCCTCTTCGGGTGCCAGGCCACTGTGAAGGTGGGGGACTCACACTGCACCTCCCAGAGCTTCTCTCCTGCACGGAAAAGGAGCCACGTCAGCCTGGAGAGCCTCCAGCCCCCTCTGCTGCTCACCTCCCCGAGCCAAGCACCTGCTGCTTCCCTCAGCCAAGGGGAGAGGCAGCACAAACGCTGCTCCAGCGCCTTTCAGTCACCCAGTGACAAGGCACAGACATGACAGGCATGCCTGCCACAGACTTCTGAGGCAGAGGCTCCCCCTCATGGCATTCTGCTCTGCACGGATGTTGCTCTGATTTTTTAAGATTTTCTAAGCCTTCTGATGTTTGCATTTTTGTAGCAAACTTTCTCACACACTTTCTGTAAACAACTTATTGTTTTGCATTCTTTTATGGAGAACGAGAAATTTGATGGAGTGTTGGTTTGTCCAGTGTCATTGGGTAGTTGTCACTTTCACGCTCCAATCCACTGCACCTTTGCAAATCTATAAATGTCGGAGTCAGAAAATAAACTTCCCTCTTTCCTGCCTTGAGAGCAGCAGTGTGTCTGCATCCTGTTGTCTCGTGTCCTATAGTGACACACAGGAAAGCTCTTCCTTAGCATACACATTCTCCCTGTGTCCTCCCAGCTCTACCAGCACTTCTCCATCCAATTCCCCCCTTGTTGTTCCCCAAAATAAAACCATTACCTGTCTCCACCTCGGCAATGTCAATGAAGTGATCCTCTGATGCTGAGGCCAGCATCTTCCCATCATGGCTAAAGCTCAAGGTCCGCACGGGCCAGTCCAGCCTGCAGCAAGCGAGGGGAGCAGACAGTGAGGCACTGCCACCACAGTCCCCAGAGAGGGGGAAAACCATTCTGGGACAGCTCTACCTACCTGGAGAAGCACCTCACACACACCAGCTCATCCACATCCCAGAGGCTGACCAACGCATCAGCACTGCCTGTGGCAAAATACTTCCCCATGGGATCAAACTTGATGCAGATGCAGTTGGAAGGATGGGCGTTGATGGACTGGATGGGTTTCAGCTCTGGGTAGCTGTGGAGGTGAAGGGAGAGGGCAGGGAGCAGTGAGAGAAGCACAGGGATTCCTAGAGCAGGGCAGGCATGAGGCACACCAGGACTGGAAGCAAACCCTGCCGAGGCAGGACTCTGAGTGGCCAGTGAAGGAAGCAAAGCACCAGGGACCACTTCAGGGAGCTGAGCCCAGCCCACAACTGTGGCAACCTCAGCTCCAGGCAAGCTCATTCCCACCAGAGGGCAGGGGATTGCTGGGATGTGGGGCTCAGGTTCTCCAGAAGCAGCAAAGGAACTTGCAAATGACTGCAGCCAGCCCAGCCACCCGGCCCAGCAGCAGCCACGGGCACCTGCCTGAGGATGTTGATGCAGCCATTCCCGTTGGTGAGGAAGAACATGTTGTTGTCGTTGTTCCAGGAGATCTCGTTCACCTCAAACTTGAACTGCTCCTCAGCTTTGGAGCGATGTGTCTTGGCATCAATGAAGGTGACCACATCATCCTTGTTCCCCACGGCAATGGTCTGTCCATCAGGGCTCCAGCAGATGTTGATGTTCTCACCTGAAAGGACAGAAAGTCTCACTTCCACTCCAACCATCCCCAAATGGCAAAGACTGCCAGTTCTTCAGTCTAACACAAACGCTGCACAGCAGCTATCCAGCAAAACCAAACTTGTAAGAAGTGCAGCTTGAAGACAATATGCTACAACCCATTTCAGCCAAGATGGGACCACAGCAACCACCAAACAAGGTCATGCCAAAGATCCTCTGAATCCAGTCATCTCTGAGATCCAGAAAAAGTAGAAGCCAAAAAGAAATACCTTTGAATAAAGGTAAGAAAGTGGCAGGTTGCTGTTACACAAATTTACAGTGCTACTCCCAGCCCCAACAACTCAAAACTGGACATTTCCAAGACCATGGATGGTATTTGGGTTAAGCATCACATGAATTTAAATAGTTTTTTCTGAATCCACACAAACTTTTATTTCCACCACGGCACTCTGTAAACATGCTTTTCTCCAGCCTCACAGCCCACTGACTCCAGAGACAAGTACAAAGGACATTTTAACAGCCAGCAACATATTTCAGCAGTTCTACCAGTCCTGACTCCACAGTAAATCAGCTCTCACATGATGAGTGCAACACAAACATAAAGCAGTTAGCAAAGATGTCCCAGCCAGAAATAACCACAGGAAAGGTGCGAAGCTCTGTGGGTCCCACACAGCTGAGGTCCTGCCGGGAAGGTGACCTGGAAGGCAGGGACTCACCTTTGGTGTTGACAGTGGCGATGCACTTGGTGGTGCGGACGTCCCAGATGCGGATGGTTTTGTCCCCTGACGCTGTGACAAACAGGTCGGGGTTGCTGGGGTGCCAGCACAGCTGATCCACGCTGTCCCCGTGGCCCCGGTAGTTGTTCTCCTTCACCTGCAGGGACAGGGCGGACGAGGTGAGGCTGTGCCCAGCTCCTGCCCACATCCCGCTGGGATGAGCAGGGTGCCCCAGTTCCCCCGCGGTCACAGCTGCCTCTCCCAGCCGGCCAGGATGGATCCCCGGCCAGGCACCAGCCCCGTTCCCGGCGGGCACACCCGGGAATCGCTGCCCGGGGCGATTCCGGTGCACACCGAGCACCCGCCCAGGCCCGGCACCGGCCACCGGGACCCTCCCGCTTCCCCAGCCCAGCCAGCCGTGCCCGAGGGCTCCCGGTGCCGGTCCGCACCGCCCGCCCCACGCCGGCGGGGCTCACCAGCCGGTCCTTCTCCAGCAGGAAGACGCTGGCGGTCTTGTCGAAGGAACCGGAGGCGAGGCGGCGGCCGCAGCAGCTCCAGGCCACCGAGTGCACCTTGGCGCCGTGCGCCGGGAACTCGCGGCTCCGCGTGTTGGCGCGGAACAGCTCCTGCATGGCCTGCACGTAGGGCGACAGCGCCATGGCGGGGCCGCGGCCACCGGCACCGCCGCCGCCCCGCCCCGGCACCGCGCCTGACGCCACTTCCGCCGCCCCCCGTCGCTGCCCGCCCCCGCCGTGAGTCCGCGGCTGCCGCGGGCACGGCTGCCCCGCACAAGATGGCGGCGCCGCCATGGCGGGCGGCAGCCGCGGGGCAGGGGAGGGGGTGGCCGGGTGTTCCCCGCTCCCGGCCCGGCCCGGCCGGCTCCTCAGGGACCTCCCGCCCTCTTCCCAGCCGGGCTGGGGGCGCGGCCCGTTCCGCAAGCGCGCTCCCCGCAGGGCTCCCAGCCTCCCGGCCGTATACCCTTAGAAAGAGCCCGGTGCCTGCCATAGCGTGCCGCGGGGCCCCCGCTGCTCAGCCCCGGCGGGATGCGGTGGGGCGGTTGCCGCCCCGCTCCCCGTGCCGCTCCCCCGGCGGGTGCGGGGCCGGTGCGGCCGCGGTTCCGGACGCGAGGCTCAGGTCGGACCGGGGAACGGTCGGTGCCCGGCCCCGCACCGCTGTCCCGGGTCCTGAGGCGGTTGGAGCCCTGCAGCTCCTGGGTGCCCGCTGGGCTTTGCCCTCTCCCTGGGGAAGGCAGCAGGTTTGAGTCGGGGTAGGAAAGTGGATTTAAATTCTCTGCTAAAAGTGTTCCCTGCTTTGAGGTGCTGAGCGGGATTTTTTTCTCAAGAGCAAACAGGCTCTGATCCCTCCTGGGCCTGCCAAAAGCTTGGGAAGTGCAGTGTGTGACTGCTGCTGGTGCAAGCACAGCGGCCTCCCCTGCCTGCTCCTGCTGCCCCTCGGACCCTGCATTGCAAGGTCTGGATGGGAGTCCCCAAAGTCTCAGGGCTGCTGTAGCTCCAGTTGGTGCCACAGATGAAAAGGCAGCTTTGTTTCCTGCCATTCCTGTCCTCCAGAGCAGGTGATGTGCCACAGAAAAGTTTGCAGGGTTTGGATCCTGTGCTGGTTCCTGCCAGTGCCTGGGTACAGGAGAGCTCCCTGTGCTTCCACTGCCCTCCCTGGACATGCCAGCAGGACTGGCATTTCCCTGTGGGGGGAAGGAGCTGAGCAGGCAGCCAGGTCTGCTCTGAGCCAAGGCACAAGGACATGAGCCCTGAGGGGAGCAGGGAAGAAAAGCCTGGGTTGGGCTCAGGCTCAGCTGTGCTGCCAGAAGAGGCTGATCCCAGAGCTCTGGGCCACAGAACCCCTTGGACAGGCAGAAGGGTCTTTGCCCCTCTTTTTCTAGGCTGGTGCCCTTTTCCCTCTTGGACTGGGACTACAGTGCCATCATAGCAGAGGAGGGCAGGACATTGACACTGCTGCTCTGTCCCCACAGGAGATCATTGACCTGACCTGTGAGGATGCAAGCACAGACCCAGTGCCGTCGAGCAGCCTCGCCTTCATCGACCTGACTGAGGACATGTGCAGCCTCTTCCACTCCACCCTTGGTGCTGCTCAGAACTCCAGAAATGCTGCCCCAGCAGCACACACGTCCCATCCCCAGCTCTGCCCCACTACAAAAAAAGAAATGCAGGCAGTGCCAGAGCCGAGCCCTGCACCAGCATCTCACAACGCTTCTGTGAAGCTCAGTTCCACCATGGCCACAGCAGAAGCCATGGAGAACTACAGCTGCCTTTCTCCTGTCTCTAGGCACCACAGCTGGGGCCCAGAGCAGGATTACAGCTCTGCTGCCTTGAGCAGCAGCTTGGACTCCCAGTCAGACTCAGACTGCCTGTCCCCATCTCCCCCCAGCCTGGACAGCAACAGCAGCATGAGAGCTGATGGCCCAGAGGAAGATCCTCCCCAGCCCTGCCAGGAAAGGAACCTCCCCCCAAGGCTGAGCCCTGCCCCAACCATTCCTATAACACCAGGAAGGACCCAAAGGCCTTTGCCAGAAGCAAGTGACTTCCCACCACACCAACCAATCCAGCAAGCCACCCCAGCCAGGACTGACACTGACAGCAAGGTCTTGCTGGACAAACTGCACAACTTCAGCAGGAGTGGAGTCCAGCACCTCTTCCTCCAAGGCATAGCACCCAACAGGGAAACACAGAAGGTAAACAGGGTTTGGAGCAGCCCCTGTGGCAGAGGATGGAGCAAGGGCAGCCTCTGCTCCCCTCTACCAGGCAGCTGGGGGCTCTGATTATTGCAGTTCCCTTTGCAGTGGGCCCCACATCACAGCTGGGATCCTCTGTGTCAGGGGAGCTTTCATTGTCTTGCCTTGTACACAGCAGAAACCTGGGCTCATCCCCAGCGGGAAGCTGAGCATGGTGCACACCACCATGGAGGAGAACAGCCTGGAGGGCACCTTGTATTTCCTGAACGAGTTTGTCTCCTGCCAGCACCGTCCCCCCAAAGAAATCGTCTGCCACCTGATCAAACAGATGCTGTTGGACACCCAGGAAGGGGAGATCCTGAATGACATCTACACGCTGCTGATGAAGATCCAAATGTAGGTGTTCCCCTTGTCCCAGGTGTTCCCAGGGGTCTGCCCAGCATAAGGGTTATTCTGGGCTCACCCACAGAACAGGGAGTGGTTTCCCCTATAACCCAGGATAATCCTCCTGCCAGCACAGGCACACCCACACTCTCTGAGGGTGGGTCAGGGACAGCTTGTGACACAAGGGAGCCCTTGGGGACAGAAGAGTGTGTTTGCCTTGCCCTGAAGCACAGGTCTCATTCTTCACTGCTGTGGCATGGCAGAAGTGCCTTCCCTGGGCTGCAGCAGTGGCTGGAGCAGCTCCCTCAGGCTTCCCACAGAGAGGTGCAATATTTTATGAGGCCACAGGTGTAGGAATCCTGGGCATCTCCATGGAGTATAGCCCCTGTCAGGAATTTCCAAAAACTTAATGTGTTATGGGGAGGAGAAGGGGTGAGGGCAAAGATGGAGAGGAGAAGGCAGGGAAGGCACCTGAGCAAGAGGGGCTGGGGAAGGGCTAAGAGGCTGCCCTGCCTCCAAGCAGCTGATCAGGCAGTTCAGCACAAATGGACATGGCTGTCAGCTAAGGGGCTCCCTGCCTTCAAGCAGCTATCAGGCAGTTCAGCACAAATGGACATGGCTGTCCTTGCAGGCTCCATCCAGCCAACATCGCCACGGTGGGATGGGACTGGACACTGGTGAAATTCATCATGGAGCAGCAGGTACTTGGCACCTTGTGTGTCACATGGGGCAGGGATCATCCAGCACACGCTGCCTGAGGGTGAGTGTTCCCAAGTGCTTCCTGTGGCTGTGCTCTGCTCCAGAGCTGGCCAGTCCAACAGTGAGTGCCAGCTGGGAATCCCACCTTTATCCACAGCGCTCCCTTAACCCTCTGCAGTTTTAGGCAAGTTGTCCCACTGAAGAAGGCACAGATAAACCCTCTCTGGGTCACAGCACTAGTGCAATGCCCAGCAATGCCCCTCAGGGTCTTGCCTGAGCCAGTCAGCTCCTCCTACAACTACTCCTCATTATGTACATCAGTACACTCCCAAGACAGCCAGCTTCCCCGGTGTTCCTAAGCCTGTGGCCCCACCAGACTCACATGCTCTCCATCTCCCCCAGGAGAAGCCCCCTGGTTGGCTCCTCTTCCTGCAGTACGTGGTACAGACCCTGGAGGATGACTTCCAGCACAATCTGAAGTCATATCAGCTGCAGAAGTCAATTGCCAAGAAAGTCCTTTCATGTGACTTGTGCTTCAGCAATGTCAAGTAAGGGACACCTCCTCCTTGTTCTCTGACCAGAAGCTGAGGGCAGGGACTTAGGGAACACTTGTCAATTTTCCAAGAAGCAGATTTGGGAGACAAAGGGAAGCATAGGGCCAGTTATAGGGACTAGGAAAAGATTTACAAAAGCAAACCACCACAGATAATACGAGGCCTTTCCACTCACAACAGAGTGGGCTTTTCCCAGGGATGAGGTCAGATTTGCATTGCTCAGGACAGGACTGAGAAGGAGGCAGTCCTGTAGGCAAGTGTACAAATCAAGAGAGCTCCTTTGTTGAGCTGTTCAACAGAGCTACTCCCTAACCTGTCCAAGTGGGTGGAACATACTCTTCATTGTCAGGGCCTTTCCTCCAGCTCTGAGTGGATCTAGAGGTCAGAACACAGCAAAACAAGGCACCTCCCCAATAAAATTATTGTTTCTGTTCCAGGGAAGTGGTCAATTGGTTGGTGGCAGCAGTTACAGGAGTTGGGTTCTCCCAGCCCCAGGAAGAGCTGCAAGAAGCCAGGGCTGAACACGGCTCATCTTCACCAAGGCTGGCCAGCACTCAGACAGCTTTCTTCGCCCAAAAGTAAGCTCCAGAATTCCAAACTCCCTGCTGGCATTATCGTGGACCCAAGTCAGGCAGAAGCCAGAGTCACTTTCTCACTGTCAGTTCAGGGAAGCCAGGCTGAACCAGCTTTGCTGGTTCTTCTTTGGGTTAAAGACTTGGTGAGCAAAGGACTCTCACCTGGTAGGAAACTGGCTCAGTGTCATCCTCTTGATGCAGCACAAGGCTGGAGCTTGTGGCCCACAGCTCAGGCAGCCCCATGCTGCTCCAACACTCAGGAGAGCCACCAAGGCCTCCTGAGGGTCAATCTGGGGATGAGCTTTGCTTGCAAAAGCATCATGTTCAGAAGTCACCAGGAGACACCAAACCTGGCCCGCTGCATTCCCATGCCCCTCACCGCACGAGGCTGAAGCAGGGGCCATCCCCAGGGCTTTGCTTGGCAAGCTGAGGGGCAGAGTCCCCCTGTGCTGACTGTCCCCTCTCACCCAGGACGATGCTCCTGCTCCAGCAGATGCTGGCCATGGCAGTGGAAGTGGACAGATCTCCCACCTGCAGCTCCCGTAAGATTGCAGATGACATTTTCCCGTTCATACTGAATATCCCCCTGAGGAGCCAAAGGTGAGACAAGCATTTGCAAAGGCAGCATTTGCCTGTGAACAATGGTCTTATTCCCAATTTACATCCAAGTGTGGATGCATAAAGTTCTACAGGGTATAGAAAGACAGGTCAGCCAGATGATGTGTTGATGGAAACACACCCAGGTGGTGTGTGCTGAGAACAGTCAATTCTCCCACTTGTTAAAGTTGTGACCTTAA